GACGAGGACTGCAAAACTAGCATAGTGAAATCTTGTCAGTAGAAAGTCGATATAAGGTGGGTGGCCTTGCGTAGAAACACCCGTACGCGTACTACGTGCATTTAGGTACTAACAGACCTCTTAAAGGAGGCAGCTAATTTTGATTATGGTAAATCGAATGTTTATATTATTTTCATTGGTTTTGAATATTTTTTTAATAGATAAGTTTTTTGCAGCGTGCAATGAGGTTTTCAACTTTAAGGACCTGGTTTTGGAAAAGCATATTTTATTTAAACCTCATATTTTCCTTGCACAAAGCTCTAAGAAAACAGTTTATTCAAATCAATCATAAATGAATTTCAAATTACAAAAGTACTTTAAACCACTGAATTGGTTCCAGCTTGCTAAGAGTTATCTTATAGTTCGGAAAACTACAAATCAAAGTAGTTCACGTAAACGTATGAAAAACATTCAATTGCTACGAAACTTCTTATATTGAAATATAGATGATAATCAGTTCTTTAAAATGTTAAATATTAAGTGTAAAAGTACAATTTAAAAACCAAAGTAGATAAAAATTTAAGAAAACGAATTTAAACGCTCAAAAGAGAACCTGAATTGGCTTCCATTAATTTTGATTGAAAAAAAAGACAAGAAATACTTAAAAAAATTACCGTTTCAACGGTGCAAAAACGACGGAAAATTCGAGTTTTTAGTGTTAACACTCATTATTTAAAATATCGGCAACAAAAAGGAGTGTAAATGCTAAAAACTCGAATTTCTCGCCCTTCTTATGGTGTCGAAATGGGACTTTTTCAGTATTCTGTGCGTTTTGTGCGATTTTTTAACCAGCGTTAATGTCAGTCAATCGAAGTTCGCATTTGAGGGTTATACGCGTTTTTCCAAACCTCTGTCTGTTTAGGATGCATCAAGATTATTAAGCACTTTTCTTTATTATAGATAATTTGGACTGATTTGAAGTGTTTTTTTAAAGTATCAGATATTTTAAGAGACCTCATAGTAAGCTTCAATTAGTTTAGTATTTTATATGATTTAATAATTTAAAGTGAATTTTATGTTTCAGACTTAAGTTCTCGTTGATTGAAATCACCTATCTACACCTTTGATATTTAACAAAGACAATAGTGAATTCCAAAGATATTTTCGTGTTTATCTTTGATATTCTTTTTACACATGACGAAACGGAAAAAAATTTCAGGAAACAATTTTTATTTTCAGCAAGATTCGTCAACTTATGAGTTGGAGACTGATAAAACTTAAGACTGGAAAGGGTACTGTATGGACCGCATCCTATTGTGAAGATAAATCTTTGGATTCACGGTTAAGAATTGTGCCAGAAACGGTGATTCTATTTGGATATCATTTTCGAGCACAAGAGTTCGTGTGAAATCCTGCTTCTTGAACCTGCTCATAATCCGTTATATTTGATTTTTTCTGGCCGCACATTCTTGATCTCAAGCAATTAGTTGCAGAAAAAGCAGTGCCTGATGATTTAAATTTTGCTACTTAGAAAGAAAAATCTACCCGTGCTTGCCTAACAATACGGAAAATATTGCCTGGCTTTAGGATCATAGATATTGAGGTGGTCTATCAAAGTGAATGTTTTTTTGTCTTCTCGGATAAACTTAGCTGTGGTTATTGTCGTTTATTTTTTTCTTTAACGAATTTTAATGCTAAAACGGCTAAAAGTTCAAAAACCAGTATAAACATAAAGAGAACACCTGCGTTAGTTTTCCAAGTAAAAATGTCACCATCTCTGATGTGATAATACTTCATCAAGACATCATGACCACTGAATATCGTTCTATTTGAAGACGTACGACCACATAGTTCAGTCATAAAAATTCCATTTTCACATTGAAAATGTAAATTGCTACTGAAACTAATCTGAACACATGCATCATGGGCATACTTGATAAAAGATAAGTATTTTAGCCATGAAATCCACGGTGGTGTATTTTTTATATAGAAACCACCAAACAATGTCGTGGCGTACAGTAATATTAGTGCAATTAATAATGCTTCAGTTTCATTATGAATTGTAGAACTCATCACGAAAGATAGTGCATGTGAGTTGATAATGACCAGTAGTTGAATGAATAGAAAACCAAGATAGTTTAGAAAGTATGGATTCAGATTATATAGCCAGTAAGTGATAGTTAATGAGATGAGTGGTAAAATTGAGAGTACGGGTATTTCCGCCAATAGTTTACTTAAGAAATAAGCTGATAGACAGTAGATACCACTTTCTTGTTGCTCTTCATTAACGAGTTTACGTTCAGTTGAAAACTTTACTATTGTATACGTCACCAGTTCATAAGGCCACAATGTCAAAACTAGGAAGATGTAAGAAGAACGATCTCATAAGGTTGATTCTCGAAATGACGTACGAAACCAACAGACTCCAGTAATTAGAGTCATACATAGAACGTAGATTAGATATAAGCGAGTAAATTGTTCTTGAATAATTAATTTTAATGAACGATTGTAAAGTACCATGAATTGTAAAAGAAAACTAGTTTTGTAGAAGCCTTCAGTGCTGTGAAGCAATGAAGTTTTTTTCTTGCTCTGAAATTGTTCATGGTCTTCTTGTCCAAAAGAGGCAGTAAATTTTATGTACTCTTCAACTAAGCGATTCCTAGTCGAACTGTTACTCGTACTAATGACAGCTATCATATAATCAGCTGGATTGAAGTAAGCAGGACATTGATAACCAAGTGATGTAAAATACGGGACAGCAGCCTGGGGTTTATTCTAAAAGAAAGTTTATATTTATTTTATCGCTTTTCTGACCGCATCGGTCTCTTCAGATTACACACCATAAAAACTATTCTGCCTTCAGATATGAGCATAACTTGATCAAATATTTGGAATATCTGTGAAGTTGACTGATGAATTGAAAGAACAATTGTTTTTCTTTGGTCATTAGCTAAGTTTCTTAATAACTGAATCAATGATGTAGCTAAAGTACTGTCAAGACCACTTGTAGGTTCTAAAGAAGAAAGAGAAGTTTAGAGATATCTTTTTGTCAGAGACGACAAACAAACTTACCATCTAATACTAAAATTGATGAATTTGTTAACAGTTTTGTCGCAATACTAAGACGTTTCTTTTCACCGTAACTGATTAAATATATCGGTGAATTTATACATTTCTGTAAATATAATTTCTTAACCAGTAATTGCACATGTTTTTCAGCTAAATGCCAAGGTAATTTAAGTCTAGCAATGAAAATCAGTTGTTCTCGTACAGTGAGTTTGTCAAAGAACTCGTCATCTTGTACAATATAGGCAATTTTAAGTTTCATTTGACTGTGATCATAGGGTTGCTTGTTGAAGAGAATTTCACCAGAAACACCGACAGTCGAACGATTAGTGAGCGTGTCCAGTAAAGTTGTTTTGCCGCTACCTTTTCGGGTAAAAAAAAACAGAAAAATAAGAAGTTACTATTCTTTTCTAGAAATACAGAATTTCTTCGCACACTAAACAAGTTTAGTATAGTAGGCAGCCATGTCATTCTTCTGCTTGAAAACGGCGTTTTACTAGTCAGAACGAGTTATATGTGTCTTAGAGAATCTTCTTTAACATAATTAACCATTTTTTGAAAAAAATTTCTGGAGGAAATCACCTGCAGGGCACCCTTACAGTAATCTTTCGAAAAAAAAATTCGTCAGAAAATCTATAGTTTTGTACCTCAATCGGTAAAGCTTCATGCGCTGGTTTAGAATATAACTTTTTATTTACATTACAAAGCTATGCTGATAGATAAAATAGCAATTTCCAGCTTAAAGCATGGGTTTTTGGCTGCTTTTTTAACTTAGTCTCAGGTCTTTCATGATATACAATGTAAATAGCCAACGATAGATTAGCATGAAGGTATATAATTGGCAGAGACTTAAGCCTTGTTAGATGAAAACGCTTTGTAGCTTTTGGAAAATACACTATAACTCATTGTTTTTCAACTTTCCTTGCATGAAGGTTAAAAAAAAATTTTTAACAGAACACGTTTTATTTTATACGTATAGATGCAGCTCGACGCGCTGGTTCTTAATATCAACATAGTGTTGAGTCAAAATAATGGTCTGTTTGCAAAAAAAGGCAGATGCAAGCTCAAAAACTTGACTTTTTGACAAACTCATACCACCGGCTATGATCATCGGTGCGCGACGGCGCTGTGCTGAACGCTGCGCCAAACACGGAAGAACAATCAACAAAAATTTGAGGTCATTCGCACTTAAACTTTTCGCAGCGTTTGAAAGATACAGAAAGATAGGTTTTCAGAACCTTGTAGGCACAGGAACTGACTTTTCTTTTCAAGAAAGACTTACTGTCATATATGATTCGATGCACATCGACGAGCTGATTTCGAATCACTTTAAAAAAACCCATATATTACTGAGTTTTAAAAGTGCCTCAGTTTTTGTACCCATCTATTTTAGGTTTAGTAAAATGAAAATAGTGTCGGGTTTTTTGTTCAAAACTGCTTTCAGTTCCACAAGTTTCACAAATTTTTGAAATTCTTCAGCGAAACCCTTAGCAGGTTTCATGAATTCCATACGAAAGGGTTGGTGCTTCCATACATTATTTGGGGATTTCGTCTCTTGTATACAAAAATATGGTAGTTTGGTAGACTACGTGAAAGTTTTCTATCCGTTATACGAAGCTGTTAATGGATTGGTAGACTATTGCGAGGTTTCATATTTTTGATGCGAAACGGTTAATAGTTTTGTAGATTGTCTGAAGTTTTCGCAGTTTTCTTATAAAACCATGCATAATTCTGTGAAGCCCTAATAAGTTCTGTGCACTTTGTACGAAATCATGTATGATCTTTTAAATTGTCGAAAGGTTTAGACTTTTTTCTTCGGAATGGTACAGAATTAGCTTTACTACTTAATTTACTTTCGAATATTTAGTTTTTAAATCGTATCAAAAAAAGCATCAAATCTTATCAGAAAAATTGAGAGTCTGAAAAAGATCGTGGAGAAATCGAGATGCGCATGCTTCTCAAAGTGAATCGAGTTGAAGAAATCGAACCAGAAGGAGATCAGCATCGTTACACTTAAAACGTAAAGTTGAATTAATAAATCAAGGAAATAATTAACATAATATCGAGAGTTAAGTGGACAGATTGTTTAATAGTAGGAATGTCAATTTACAACTATTTTCAATTTAATTTACGCGTACATTAAATTACCATTAATTTCAATTTAAAATGAATTAAACTTATGAAAAATGTAATTTATCTTCATTTTAACTTATTTGCTCTTTATAATTTATTAAATCAAAAACTTAACTAAATTATTCTACCTCTTGATGAGCTATTTAGAACTAGTCTCTATAATATGTCAAGGTCTACTTAGCCATGGTCTTCATAACTTTTCCAGCTCTATCCATGGGTCGTCTCTACAACTTTTCGATGGCTACCTGAGAGTCGTCATTCTAACATTTTATGATCTATCTTCAAGGTAATACTCATAACTCATCATGACCTATATAAAGAAAGTCAACATACGTTCTTATGGGCTAGTTTGGGGTAGCACCTATAACTATTCAAGACCTATCGAAGGGTAGTTCTCATAACTCCTAATGACGCATCTAAAGATACTACCCAAAGCAACTCATGACCTATCTCTAATGGTAGTGTCCATAACTTTTCACGCTCGATGTAGTGGCGCACAGTGGGCAACTTTCATGAAGCAGGCGGACATGTAATTTTTGTGCTCTGAAACGAGTTGCCGTTACTCAGAAGTGTTCGTATATTACTCGGAAAATCGAATTTACGGAAACAAAGCATTCTTTTGAAAAAAAAATTTTCGGGGTAAAACACCTGGGGGGAACCCTTGCCTAGACTTTCGAAAAATTTTTTTGATAGAAAATGTCTTGTGTCATACATCATCCAATGCAGTTTTGCTCGCTGATTCCGAATATCACAATCATTCTGCGTCACAATGCTATCGGAACAGAGATAATATGGATTCAGGGGCAGAAGCCTGGATTTCTGGAAAACTTCTAGCCCAACCTGGTTCATCAGCGCGAGGTGGCGCTAAGCCCACTGATACATCACATATAGAAGAATCATCAGTAAAGTTTTCAGGTAAATCGGGCTTAAGCGCTTTGTAGGGTTTGCAAAATACGGGATGACCAATTTTTAGAGTGATAACCAGCAAAAGGCCCAAGTTTTTTTTCAAAAAATACTTATTGTTGTATATGATTCGATGCAGCTCGACAAGCTGATTCCAAATATCACTTTGGTTTGGCGCCACAATTCTGCTATAATTGGAAAAAGAGATTTAGTAGCAAAAACCTGGGTTTTTAGAAGACCTCTAGCATAGCCTGTATTCATCGGTGTGAGGTTGTGCTAAGGTCGACGATAGATCACATATAGAAAAATAATCGGTAAAACTTTAAGGTCAATCGGACTTAAACTCTTTGTAGGGTTTGCAAAATACGAAATGACCAGATTTCGGAACCCTAACTGGCGCGGTAACCGAGATTTTTTCTCGAAAAGCGCTTACTCTTATATGTGATTCGATGCAACTCGACGAGCTGATTCCGAATATCACCTTAGTTTTGCGCCACAATGCTATAGTAATCGAGAAAACAGGTATGCTGGGGAGAAGCCTGGATTTTTGGAAAACATCTAGCACAGCCCGTATTCGTTGGCACGAGGTTGGGCTAAGCCCAACAACAGATCAGATGTAGAAGAATAGTCGGTAAGAGTTTGAGGTCAAACGGACTTACACTCTTTGTAGGGTTTGTAAAATACGGAATGACCAATTTTCGGACCTACTTTTAACCCGGTAATCTAGTTTTTTTCTTTTCCAGTTTGAGTCCGATCAAAATCATTTTTTTTTATCACAATGAACTCGATAGAGCAATCATTCGTTTTGGATAGTTTTTCTTTTTAAATATTTTCGTTAAGTTGGTCAAAGAATTAACTTTGTCGGTGACTGGACAATTCGTCGCCGGACAATTCGTCGCGGACAATTCTTCGCAGACTATTCGTCGCACGGACAATTCGTCGTCGGACAATTCGTTGCACGGACAATTCGTCGCACACGTAATTAATTGTAACAAAATTAATATGTATGTAAGAACGGCAGAGATGATACACGTATGATGATGTCACTTAACACAATTGTATGAATAATATAAGTTGAGTGACATTATTCTGTTTTTGGAATCTTTTATATTAAATCTTTAGATTAATTGATTTTTCTCAATCTTCTCAAAATCGTATTAGAAAATTGGATTTGGCTTTCGAATGATAACACAGTTATTCAAAAATCAATATTTATTCATTAATTGAAAAACAAATTCACTTAAGTCAATTAAGAAAAGGGACATAAGTTCATTCATATGAATTAATTACGTATGCGACGAATTGTCCGTGCGACGAACTGTCTATGCGACGAACTGTCTATGCGACGAATTGTCTGACGACTAATTGTCCGTGCAACGAATTGTCCGTGCGACGAATTGTCCTAGCGCCAACTTTGTCTAGAGATAGCAATTTATGAGCAAGTTTATAAAAATGAAGTTTTCGAGAGTTCTCCTTAATTTCTGGAAGTTTTATTTCAAGGCAAGATAGACTAATCTTAGATGTATTTATTCTAATATTTAAACTTTGGAAAAGAATACTTTCGTTCATGTCCGCCTGATTGCCCACTGTGTGGGATGTGGAGTGGGGAAGTGCTGGTGTGCCTGCGGGTGTGGGGATGGGCGTGGCTGTAGGTATAGGGTGTCAGGGTGGATGTGACTGTGTGTGTGTGGATGGGGTTTGGGCGCGCGTGTGCTCCAATCTTCTGTCAGCTCATACGCTACCCACATTCACACCTACGATCACTTACACTTACCCTCATGCCCATTCCCATACTTACACTCACACCCAAACTCCATATCGACTATCTCACACCCTATCTTCAAAGAGGAAATTCGCTGAAAAATCGAATATCTCACGCTAACGTATGCCATAAACACCTCATATTTTCAATTTGATAGTTTGGCGATGAGACCTTTATTTTGACCCGAATATGTCCAATTTCTCTAACTTACAAATACAGACCCATCCATTGTCAGTAAATAAAGACCCACGACGCAAGTTACCGAGAGTTCCCCGCAGGGAAACACAGAAAATCGCTGAAGCCTGGAGAAGTGTCTGAAGTGAAAATTTTCTGGACTCTTTCCAAAGATTTCGATCTGCTTTTCTGCACTGTCGAACAACAACTGATGGAAAATCATCGGAAAAATTCAGACCGGAAGATTACTTTCAATATTTCTATGATTTTTCGGGATTTTCTACAGGATACAGTGACTTTTTCCATAATTCGTGCCGATTTCTACGATATTCATCCATCGCAATTATTCGTTCGAAGTCTACTAATGGTTACCGCAATTGGGGATTTTTCATAAAATAAGATCGACTTGTAAGAATCAGTTTGACTCTTATGATATTGGCTTTTAATACATACAAAGAACTGCGTGACCAAGTCCTTTTAGTCACAGTCACGGTCACGCGTAATCGTGGCCATGTTGCAGATCTCTAGGTGAGATAGAGTAAGCATAAACGTATTTATTTCCATATTTAGGCTTCGAAAAATAGAACTTGAGGTCATGTCCGCCTGGTTGCCCATTGTGCTTCAATCATCCGAACCCTCAAACTCAAAGTATATCACCATTCTAATACTATTCAGACAGAATTATTATGGCAATTTTCGGTTACATTACTAACCTGATACTCCCATTACAGCTAATATTTCTCCAGGATGGACAGTGCCACTAATATTATAAAGCAATACTCGTTTAGTAGTTGCCGTTCCTTCTGGAAAATTTGAATCATAATATTTGTAAATATCGTCTACAGTTACAACTTTCGTTAAATTATGAAATGATAAAGATATTTGTTCTGTTGATAGACTACGTAAAATTTCTTCTTCATCTTCGTAATCGTCGCTCAGACGAAGTGCTTGGTAATACACGCAACGCATTGAACTGTAAAAATAAGATCTTATTGTTTTCTTAAGAGTGATTCTAACGAGTCTGAACAATGAAACTTATATTCGCACGTTGCTTTCTTCTGTGCTTTTAAAAACAGTTAGTTGCTAAGTGTGAGACACTCTGCATTTACTGTTCTCTGTCTTTCTTTTTCTCTCTACATAATTCAAAATATGCATATTGATTTCGTTAATGGTATTCTTTTCTTTCTTATTCATCGTATGCAAAAAATAGAAAGTGCATTTTAACATATCGTTGTAAACAAGTATAATTATAAAGCACAAACATATTCAACACATTGAAAAAATCCACCCATGCTTTTTCAAGGACTTTGCTTTGGTAGAAGTGTAAGTATAAAGTCATTCCGTTTCCACTAACGCAAGAGAATTTATCGAAAAAAAATTTTCTTTTGCTAACACTTCTGTTTTGTTATATCGCCAAAGGCTCTGCATGCGTACTATAAAACTAGCAACAAGTCAAACATTTCGGGCAACTACTGAATTGATATAGAAACCCAGGTCAGTCAATTTTATGCATAAACGATTGTACACCAATTAAATACGGTGAAAAATGACAAACGTTAACGGTGACCGTTTACAGCAACCGTAAACGAAGCTTTACGGTGTATTACAGTCATCGTAACCAACGGCTGTCAAAAATGCCGTAAACGACAAGCGTAGCAATACATCGACTATAAACGATGCACGGATGATATCATAAGGCATCGCCCTTGTCAACTGTACATGCTTTATTAAACGATGGTTGTTTTTCATCGTATCAGTTCATAAACAGTCGTTTACGTCAATGATCTTCATTTATTTAACCCTTGTACCACTAAGGAGATTCGTAAAATATCCACGCATTTGATGAATCTCGATGTAATTCAAGAATTACATATATTATTACTACCCAATCAACATCGTTCAATCATCACTAAATGAAAAATGATGAACCGAAGGGTAATAGGAGTATAGGTGCAAGCGTATAGTGATGAACACATAGCTATGAGTATTTACCAATGTGACTATAGATATAAGTATAAGGAATGTTCGCTAAACTTTGATCCATATAGTCAATATTATGTTTTTACTTGGTTCATCAGTTGAAAAGTCTGATATTAATAATATATATCAGAGTTCAAAACGAGCCACTTTTTGATGACTGAACTCGGCCAATACCGGGCCAGCAATGACTCATGCCCGCCTGATCTGGCCTGACACAAATAACAATGGGACTATCAGGATTATATTTCTTTTACAGCAAAAAAAGGTTTTACATGACGGAACTCAATGGTCATTGGAGTTAGGGATGGTTATTTCTTGTTAATGTACTTTAATTTTTTAACTTCTTGAATTTTAAAGGGAACAGAGAAGTAAACTCTGAAAAGTTAAACTAATTTTAAATTTAACTTACATGAATTTTAGTATATTAAATTTATTTCAAATTTAAATTTAGAAAACTTTTTTCTTACATGAGAAACTATTAATTGATGTCCATGTCAATGCCTGGTGCATGTATCAAACTCTAGACTAGTGTGATAATCACGATTTGTTGAGATAAGGAGTTCAAAAAAACGTGAAAAGTTTGAGTTTCTAACTTGAAACTCGAGAAAAATCCGTTTTACGACCACTACCATCTAAATCAAGCTAAAATTAAATATTCCAATTATTATCAAATGATGATATCCATTGAAACAAGAAAAAAAGCTAGCGCCGGGTGGACCGACAGAATTTGAAGCCCGTCCAGCCTGGAATAAAAGTATTCCTGGGCCGCATCGGATCACCGGACTGGATCGTTCATTTCGAGCTCTGATACATACCGGGTGTCCCAAAAGTCATGTCCACTTAAGAAAATTAAGTATCTCCATTACGGCTCGAGCAAACGTGCTGATTTTTTTATCAGTAATAGAGACATGCACCAAGTTTATATCCCTAAAGACATGTCTAGGGAGACCCTTTATTAAGTATCACTATTGACTTCAACAAGAAAAATTTACTTTTTCACAGTTAGAAAACAAAGTCACTTTGCCGAAAAAATTGAATATCTCCGCTACGGCTCGAGCTAACGAGCTGGTTCTTTTATCAATGATAAAGGCATGTTCAAGCTTTATATTCATAAAGACATGCCTAGAGAGATCCTTTGTTAAGCATATTGTTTTCTATTCTATCTACGAAAAAGTAAAATTATTTTGTTGAGGTCATTGGTGGTACTTTATAATGGCTCTCTCTAATCTTGTCCGTATGGATTTAAAATGTGAACATGCTTCTATTATTGGTACAAAAATCGGCCCGTTTCCTCGAGCCGTAGCGGAGATGTTTAATTTTTTCTTGGTGTCATGATTTTTGGACTATATACAGGGTGGCCCAAAAATCAGTTTGCCAAAATAAAAATTGAATATCTCCATTACGGCTAGAGCAAACGAGCTGACTTTTTTACCAATAATAGAGGCATGTTCAGGCTTCATATCCATAAAGACATGCCGAGAGAGACCCTCTGTTCAGTATACTGCTTTTTTTTTCTATCTGTGAAAAAGTACATCTTTCTTGTTGAGGTCAATAGTGATACTTAATAAAGGGTCTCCCTAGACATGTCTTTAGGGATATAAACTTGGTGCATGCCTCTATTACTGATAAAAAAATCAGCACGTTTGCTCGAGCCGTAATGGAGATATTTAATTTTCTTAAGTGGACATGACTTTTGGGACACCCGGTATATCCTCTGAAAAAAATAGGTACACTCGGTATTTTTAGCATATCATCAATATAAATTAATATTTTGAGAAAAGTAATTTTATATTCGGATAACCGTAGGAATTCTCTACAACTCTACGAAATACTAAAGATGAAGTAATACACCTATCCTTTTAGAGTGCACTCATGACATTCCATAGACTATCCCTTTCGGGTTTCAATTTCCTTGATTAAAAAATTTCTGAAGGTGCAATCATAGATAGAGTATATCAGAATCATGACAACTCACTGGTCAGTTTTCTTTAGCCCTGCTCTTTTACAGCTTTAGTATGTGTGATTCAATAACAGCGACCGCTATAGTTCTACAGTCTTGCCCAAAACTATAAGACCACCTTTTTGAATGAAATTATAACGACTACTAACGATTTTTGAAGAAAGAAAAGTCCATGTGACTATATGCATTATTGAATGCACTATTCCTGAATCTTGAATCAAACTCTCTCGATACTCTTGCTAAGTAAGAAAAAAGCAATGTTGATTAAAATTCATAGAATTTTGCCTAGGCAAAATTATGGAACCGGTAGGATACTCTCGTTCTATCTGGAGCGGAGAACCGTTAGTTTTTATTGAAAGTTATGCAGACAGATAGGGACGTTTCTTCTGTGCATCTTCATGTAAAAAGAATTTGAAAATAAACTATAATTGAAAATAAGATCAGATTTTACTAATCAAGCTAAAATGATGGAAAATCGTCCATTGAGCTCAATGATTTGATCGCAACATATGAAATAGACGCAGAACTATTTTTTTTTCTGACACTGGAATGGAGTGGAAGACGGTTGTTCCTTAGACGTGACACATTCGTGAGCTTCATTTATCGGCGCACTCGAGAGATAAACACGGTATCAACACGTGGCACACATATTTTGAAAGTAAAGAGTTCTTATTTAAGATATTTTGTATTTTCCTATGAGAATAAATGTTATTGTTACGATTTTTCATTTTCGTTTACACGTACTTTGGCTGCAACTTTGAAATGCATACACTCTATCAAGTGTTACAAAGAATCTAACACTTATTTCGGTAGGAAACAGGTACAAAATGGATTTTAGTTATTGAGTTAAATATGCGCCAGTTCCAATATCCGATGTATCTCTCAAGTGCGGCGATAAATGAAGCTCACGAATGTGTCACGTCTAAGGAACAACCGTCTTCCACTCCATTCCAGTGTCAGAAAAAAAAATAGTTCTGCGTCTATTTCATATGTTGCGATCAAATCATTGAGCTCAATGGACGATTTTCCATCATTTTAGCTTGATTAGTAAAATCTGATCTTATTTTCAATTATAGTTTATTTTCAAATTCTTTTTACATGAAGATGCACAGAAGAAACGTCCCTATCTGTCTGCATAACTTTCAATAAAAACTAACGGTTCTCCGCTCCAGATAGAACGAGAGTATCCTACCGGTTCCATAATTTTGCCTAGGCAAAATTCTATGAATTTTAATCAACATTGCTTTTTTCTTACTTAGCAAGAGTATCGAGAGAGTTTGATTCAAGATTCAGGAATAGTGCATTCAATAATGCATATAGTCACATGGACTTTTCTTTCCTTCAAAATTGTTAGTAGTCGTTACTGAACAAGTAATTTCACTCAAGAAGGTGGTCTTACAATTTCGGTTAGGACTGTACAATGTTTCAAGTAGCAACCATTGTTGTTCTCAGTAGGCAACAGAAGTTAATGGATTTTTGTTTCATTCTGTCTTTCTCTTTCTGTTTAACAAGTCAATTTGATTTGGAGTATTTCAATGTTAAACATTAAAATGTCGACAACAACATCAAAAAAATAGACATTTATACAAGTGACAAAAAAATAAGAAAGGAATCGAAAAAAATTGTTTTTTCTTAGTTATGACCCACTTTGTAGATGACATTTATACTGTTGATGTACATAAGATTGTTGAAGAAAGATGAAATGATAGTGAGTAATGACAAAATCAATATTGCGATCAGAGAAGTAACGGGTGATAAAAAAGTTTTTGGACAACATATCGACAGCTAAAACATGTATAGAACACCCATCGAAATAAACTTTTTTTTATTGGTTACATAGCTTGTCCTGCCCTCTATCTGTCATATCAATTTGACGTTTTTCGATTGATCCATTGATGTCAAAATGATTGATCTTCGTAAACGTCTTTTTTCTATGTGTGGGACAAACAAAAAGGACGGGGGCGTATAAGAGGCCAAGTCGGTCCATTAGGAATTTTTCGGGGTAACCCTATTGAATCATACATCATTTGAAAGAGCAAGTTAAAACGAACATTTTGATGCTATTTTCATGGGGTTCCGATCGAACTTTTGAAGCGAAAAGCTATTTACAAAGTTACTCATTTTTGGGCACTAATCGAATAATTGACCATATCCATAGTCGACCCCGTTTTGGTGTAAGTTGATATGGAAAAATGGTTGTGAAATTAAGTATTTGATAGCTTCTTGATGGGGCTTTAGTTCTATATAATAATTAATAGTTCCTTGTTCGATTCAGTCAGAATAAGATCTAGCATATTATTAGACACTATTGACATATGGCCCATATTTATCACTAACTTTTATCTTTCAAGGAATATTTTATCGGAAAAATTAAAGGAACCAAAATTCTGATATAGCTCATTCGATAGCGCTTTTCAAAAGCTACAAAATCGTATATTTTCTAAAGTCTAAAAAATCTGGCCCCAAGTAAAATTTCCAACCACAACATGGTAGGGGTATGATTTATGGCCATTTTTCACTCATAATGTACCTATGGTTTTTGAAAAAGTTCGGCTAAGAGTTCAAACTAATATCAGATTCGGATTCAGCATTCAAAACTGAGTGGACTTATATATATCCCAAATCACTCCGACGACTTTCATTTTTCTCGAAAAATTCACCTGTACCCCCCTCAGGGAAAATATGGTCAATTGTTGGATTGGTGCCCAAAAATGAGTAACTTTGTAAATAGCTTTTCGCTTCAAAAGTTCGATCGGAACCCCATGAAAATAGCATCAAAATGTTCGTTTTAACTTGCTCTTTCAAATGATGTATGATTCAATAGGGTTACCCCGAAAAATTCCTAATGGACCGACTTGGCCTCTTATACGCCCCCGTCCTTTTTGTTTGTCCCACACATAGAAAAAAGACGTTTACGAAGATCAATCATTTTGACATCAATGGATCAATCGAAAAACGTCAAATTGATATGACAGATAGAGGGCAGGACAAGCTATGTAACCAATAAAAAAAAGTTTATTTCGATGGGTGTTCTATACATGTTTTAGCTGTCGATATGTTGTCCAAAAACTTTTTTATCACCCGTTATTTGCGTATGTATACCTTCAGCTTTTTGTATATTCAAAAAGTGAGTACACTCTAGAATCGGTCAGTGTGGCCAGCCGTTTACAGGATAACTTTTGAAAGGAGAGTCCGATTGCGATGAGATTTTCTACACAGTTTTGTCTCAACAATATCTCGGTCGAGTTCGAAAATGAGAATGATTGACCGAGCCGTTGCTGAGTTGTTGCAAAAATAGTCATGCTTTCCTATGTTTTCCTATTCGAAGATTGACCTATCCCCGTTTTCGTTAAAAATTTTTCCAGTCATAATCAAATAAAACACCATTTATTGTATACTATTCGATAGAGAATTTCACGAGCTACAAAATGGTATATAAAACATAAAGAAACAGGAAGACTAACTCACCTATTGCAAAGATAAATAAACGGAAATTGGTTCTGTTTTTGTCCATACTCTAATTGATCCACAATTAGAACTCTATCTTCCGATCACTGAAATGATAGTTCGAGGTTTTCTGGGATCGAGAACTCGAATCTGTACTCCAATCGCCCCGAAATCTCATTGATTGAGCAATAGGCAAAAGAAATCAAGTGTTTATAGAAAAGGTTTGCCAGGAGATTTTTTATCTCCACACACTCTAGGATGACTCATCTGTCTCATTCACTTTTTGAAGTATACCTAACTCTCGGATTTAAATCCGAGGTTTCCACATTTATTTCTTTGATTGTTTTTGACTCAGATGATCTTAAATCAGCATTAAATTCACTATTCTCGAGAAAATCATTCAATACCTTTTCCTATTCAATAGCTATGTCATAACTAAATTTTAATCGAGAATCATCAGAAAAGATCTTTAGAGATCTCCATTTGTGAGCTATTTATGGTCTAGGTGATTTTTAATCGAAAATTCTCCACTCTGTCGTTGGCCGGACACGGTTGGTTTTTCGGATGAATACAGATTACTGTGGAGGTATTTCTCTCTGATTCTTTTGAATTTTCGCCTAAGTAAAACGGTCATCAAGCGGCTTTCGCTTACTTGTTTCGCAGATCCGACGGAATCTCTAGATAATTCTTGTGCTCGAAGATGTTTCCAATTTTTCGTTTCTCGTACGATCATTGTCCTATACGTGACACTGGCTGTTTTCATGTTTCAGTAATGTTTCTGATCGTTTCTACCGTGTTACCGAGGGATTGGAAAGTCGGGGTTAGTCACCTTGGAAGTCGAACGAAATATCTAGAATATATGATGCCAACTTATCTGCTTTGTTTCTTTTCAGAGAATTTTGTTTTCCAAACTCATCTGTTTTCCGACTCAGCAAGTCAATTTTAAATAAAACATAATATTTCAGATTGTTTTTCGAGACGTACCAAAATCAATAATATTAACCGTTTTTATTTTCCACTTGAGAAAAAATGGCTGCCATTACAATGAAAGATTTTGAAAGTCATCAAAAAAAATTATGTATTGTTGCCATAGTTTTCGCTTCGATTGGCTTACTCCTTTTATGTGTGGGCATAGGCACATCGTCATGGCATATTGATTACAATACCGCAGGAACATCAATTCTATGGTATACAAATTATTTTTATACATGCTATGCTGTGAATGGTTCATGTTGGAGTAATCAATATTTGGCTTCAGTTGTCGATTATTATTCACAACCAATAACACAATCTCCGGCAGTATCAACTGATTACTATCTTCGATTAAGGAATGCAGCTGCCTTGGGCATTATTGGTTTGTTATTCGTTTTATTCGGTTTGATCGCTACTGTGTTTTTAATGATACCTAGTTGGCATATTGTAAAATTTGGTGGGCGTTCAAACTTAATCGCTGCTCTTTTACTAGCAATCGCTGCTCTATTTCAACGTGCAGCTTTGTCTGAAGGCCAACATCAATTTTCTCAGAATGGTTATTCAGCAAGTCTATACGATACTGGTCATGTATTAACAATTTTTACGGCAGCGATCTGTGCATTTGTGGCTGGAAGAATTTATTTTTAAACTTTCTGATAACATTGACATATTATGATTTGATCCTTCCTTTGTATCCTGAATTATTGCACTTCCTATGACTTTTAATGTTTGATTAGAGTTCTATCAATATTCATTTCAAATTAAAAAAGACAGTCAACATTGGTCCAATATCTTGATAATCTTTTCAACTAGAGACGTGCAAATTTTGTGTTGGAAAGAGAACGCTGTAGCTTGCTTTCTTTTTAAAACAAAGCAAACTCGGGATAGTTCTGGTAGTCGATCACTGGAACAAGAGACTTTTTGAAAACGATGATATTTTCTAAAGATAAAACAACTTAATAATTGTTTCTATGCAAAATTGTTTAGAAAGTCTCAAAATTTACTATAGAACATATTTCGGTGTTTAGTTTATTTTCCTTTGGGTGGTGGACCACGTTATAGTATGCTTGTTAGAGTGGTTAGAAAACCTATTTTAGCCTATTATGGTGACTTGAAATGAAAATTCACAATAGACTTTTGGCCCTCCTGAGTCTAATGGAATAATTGATTGCTCGCTACGAATCTTCTGCAGTACGCTTTACATCCACGGAGGATCCTAACAAATGCCTGGACTACAGGAGATTTGAAATAGGTTCTCTATCACTGACATGGGTAGCATAACGAGACCCCGTTCCTGAAAGAAAGTGAACAAAAGACCACATTATGTTCTAAGTAAATTTTGAGACGCTCTAAACAATTTTGCATAGAAAAAATTATAAAGTTGCATTATCTTTAGAAAATGTCATCACCGTCGAAAGGTCTCTTGATCCAGCGAGCACCTACCAGATCAGCCTAAAGCTTGCCTTGTTAGAAAAAGCAAGTTCTAGTGTCCTCTTTCCAAAACAAACTGCACATTTCTGGTTGCAAGGATTCTGGATATATTCGATTAACACTGGCCGTCTCGTTTTATTTGAAATGAATATTAGTTTCATTCCTTTTCAAAATAAATTGAACTTATAGAAGATGATTAATTTTCAGAATCGGAATTATTCTACAGTATAGAGTTTGAAAAAATATTTCAGCTGAACAAAAATGTGCAACTAAAGATGTATGCTCTGCGTTTTGTATACTCAAAAAGCGAATACCCTCTAGAATCGATCAGTGCCTCTGTCCGTCTACATGATAACTTTGGAAAGGAGAGTCCGATCATGATGAAATTTTCTACTGTTTTTTCTCAACAATATCTCGGTCGAGTTCGCAGATGAGAATGATTGGCCAAGCCGTTCTTGGGTTGTTTTAAAAATAGTCATTATTCTCTATGCCCTACTATGCGAAAATCAACCTATCCTCACTTTCATAAAAAACTTTTCCTATCATAGTCAAATAAAACTCCAACTATGATATACCATTCGATAGAGAAGTTCATGAGCTACAAAATGGCATATAACTCATAAAGAAATAAGAAGCTTAGAATTGAGCAGTAATCAATCGAAATCAAGTTATAGGAAAAACGACTTAGGGTAAATTAAGGCGAAGGGTTCAAATCTGAGCTGTATTCGCTCCGAAGTTCTATTGTTTGAGCAGTAGCCAATAGAAATCAGGTGTTTATAGGAAAGGTTTGCCAGAATAATTTTTACGTTCATACATTCTAGGATGACTGATTTGTCTCATTCACTTTTCGAAGCACACATGACTCTTGGATTTAAATCCGAGGTTTCCACATTTATTGTAGCTCTCAAAAAGTTCTATGTCCTCTGAAAATATGACTTTAATATAGTGAACAGCCGCCGTGCACCTGTAAGTCGGATCGCGAAATTTAAAATACTAATGTCCTACTTAGCAATGTCGAGTAGAAATCTCAAAAGATGGTCTAAAAGAGTTCAGGATGCTTTATTGCTACACAGAGAAACATGAAGTTCAATTTTAGAAAGTGTTTTGAGGTGAATGTTATTTGAGGACACTTTACTTGCAAATTGTCTCCAGCCTTGGAGGTATTTCACTAGACTATTAGTACTAATGAAGTCTGTCGTCATCACATACTAAATAGTCATATATCATGGATACTAGTGAATAGTGTAAGCACTGGTTTGAAAGTAGAACAATGAGATTGTGGAATGATTCAAAGTTGTTTCTGATAGGTCCTTATTCAGGCTATATTGTGATAGTAGAAAGATTTCTCCAATATAAAATGTTGATTCTATCAGATACAGTAGAAACCTGAAGTTAGAGCAAGTATGAAGTATATACTTTACATTTCTTCCTTAACTATTTGATTAAAGAAACATCCACCTCACTCCGATCACACTCTGTTGGATAGCGTTTTTCATAGGCTACAAAACTAGTCATTTTTATTTTCGATCGAACTTTTCCTTGTGGTTTCCCATAGAGATTGACGAAAAAATTAATCTTATCCAAACATCATGTGGATACTTGAGACGAACCTTGAAGCTTCTCAAACATTATTCAAAGACAAAAAAAACAGTAGCTGACTAAATTATTAAGTATCAGTTTCGAGGATACTAATTTTGTATCTAATTCTTTAGGGAAAACACAAGAAAAAATTCGATCGAAAAAAAAAACTGATGAAAAGATTTGAGATATGCACAAATCGACCCAATGTTTTGTGCTGATTTCAAACATGACGTTTGTGTTGAGTCAGGTTTGGTCTATCGTGTCAGGAAATGAACAATTAGCGCTGTAAAACGTAAGAAATATGATCTGTGCGGAATTTGTAATAGTATCCCAAAGTTTTCGAACCTGAAAATATCAAGTAGTTAAGAAAAAAATGTAACGCTCACGCATCACAATAGATCTAACTTAAGGTTTCTACTAGATTTCATAGAATCAAGATTTTGCATTGCAGAAATCTTTTTACTATCATAATGTAGCTTGAATAAGGACCTGTCAGAAATAACTTTGAATCACTCTCCAATCTCATTGTTTTGCTTTCAAAGTAGTGCTCACATTATTGACGAGATAGGTAATACTTGAGGAAATTCGATATACTTTGATTGTTGGATCCAAAATAATCGGGTAGGAGCTTTTGCTGAGTTGAAGGTTATTTGCAATCGGACTAACTTTTCAAATCTTGCATGTTTGACATTTCGAAAGATTTTTTCAATGAGAATACTTCCTTCGAAAGAGAGTATTGAACAGGTAGTGTATATGAAATTAATCTATTTCTATCGTAGACTTAATGGTAACATCAAAAAGGAGAAAACAATAAACAAATACTCTATTCAATACAAAGTAGTATATTGTGTAAGATTCATGAAATTATTTTTGTGGTATCATACTTCTATTTCATAGAGTGATTTATGACGAACTTGATCTTTCACTTTATCCATTGTGTATGATTAATAATAAAAAACAAATACGGATGTGCTTATACTTCCCATCTGTGTCGGCTTAAAATGTACCGACGTTTACACTCATAATATGCTCCCAATCGAATGTCATTGATGACATCACTTCATCCATTTACGTTACAGAACTTTGAAAATGTAAAAGAAATATTGATAGAAGCACTATTTAATAAGAAAAAAGTAAAAATAGTATTATAATTTATGAGAATGACGAAAATATACGGTAAATAGGTGAAGATCAAATGTTCTAACTATGTGAATTTTAAAAGTCTGTGAAGTTATGTAGACGATTGTTTAAGAAGAAGGATTAGTATGTCATGCGGATGATAATAGTTCGGGAGAAACTTCAACTGATAATGTGCGTCTGCCTGATGCATGAGCACTGCCAACTAACGCAAATATTGCGAAAACATGAGCTGCTTGATATAAATTGGCTGAATAACCATTATACATAATTGTTTGCGAACCCTCGGATAATGCAGCTAACATTGTAATTGTTCCAATAAATAAACATAATGGACCTAAAAAAATATGTAAATCATGACGACGCGAACCTTTAACACTCAACGTAACATCAGATGAACGTAGTCCAACTAAAAGTGTTCCAAAAGTACCAGCAAACAAAAACAGAATACCAACAATAGCTAATCCAGAAGCTTGTCTCAAATGAATATACGAATCAGCTGTATATGTATTACTTGTACATGATGAATTGGATGTATAACATACATAGTAGAAATTTGTGGTCGTCGATGGTGATGTATTGTTTGGTGCATCCCTGTAAGTAATTTGCCATGAAGGTGTACCTATACCAATACATGCAAGAATAAACGCAATAAGACCAAGGGACACTGCTATATATGCTGGAAGTTTAATATCACGTGGATCAACAATCATTTTTCTTTAATGATGATTCTAAAACACTTGAAGAATTTGATACTTCTTAAAGAAAAAAGGATAAGGCTTTCTATAGTTAAAAAGTTGAATATATCTTTCAGAGAACATAAGCTAAATGCTGTTTCACACATACGACACTGAAAGTCATTTCTAACTATACTATAACCTGCTCATCCTAAAACTTATGCGTTATATTTAAAGTGGTGGATTAAGTTTTGAGCACATTTTTTTCCGGATTTTTCTGTAAAATGCATCTTGTTTCGAATAACTAAATAGTATTTTTGATAGCTCTCAAAATGTGCTACAAGTCTATGACGTTAAAAGTCTCTAAAGTCTATTGATTGAATATTCATAAGAGAAACCATTTTGCCATGCCGGACAAATATCTGAAGCACTATTAATATTTGATTCATTTTTCGCTTTTAAAGAGTTACTAAAATGTCTCCTTTTATATCGTTCGATGCAGTATTGAATGGGCCAAAACTTGGTGAAAAGTACTTTTTGAAGTATTATTAGTTTTGAATTAATTAATATTAATGAGTAAATATAGAAAAATTTCCTTTCAACTTTCAACTGGATCATTTGAAAGAGTATGCAAACCTGAACAAAATGACATAATACTTTTGTGGAAATCATTCATTTTCGTCGAATTGTAAACAGATTATTAAATTTTACGTCTCCACTATATTCTTATTTTAGCACGACTCAACTCTACAAGACGCTTATAGAGTAGACTTTACGCTTCCAAACGAGAATTGGCTGTCTTCTATCCAAGGAGAAAAATGCAAATTTGGAAACTCCAGTACCTTAGCACCTTTTCAGCGCCAGAGAGTATAATTTGGTGCGTGGTACCTGCACTCACCCCCTTGGTCATAAGTCTACATGATAATTCTTTCGAAATTTTTAAGGAAGGCATCAGGGACTAACGATCAATGCCGGTTTTGATAAGGGTAGTATTTACAAAATTTTAACTATCCACTATGTAGAATTGAAGGGTATTCCACTGCATGTCTCAATACTTATTCTGTATCATTAGAAATCTCATTGAAATTCATAACGTCTCTTTTTGTCACCTAAAATAAGATGAAAAAGCTAGCATCGTGGCTTTGGTATAGGCCGAGTCGGAGTAGAGAAATCCGAATCTATAAATGATCTCTAGAACTTTTTGAATTGAGTTTTCTCAATCTGACATGATCGATTGACAGAGACTTTAGTATATCGTTATGAAAACTTTTTTACGTAACAGATTTTTTCTAATCCAAAAAGCCAAATAGAACAATGTTGAAAATCATGTATAGATTTGGATTCCTAGACACTGATCCCATTTAATCAAGTTTTATCCAACTAGCCCTAGTTCTACTAAACACCATATCTTCGAACAACGAACTCATATTGAAAGTTTCTATAAGTGATCGATGGATCCTACATCCTTTAAGAAAATGCAAAGTTACTAGTTAGTTGCAGTTCAATTGTGACTTTTGTTTTCTATCAGAGATCGAAAACGAACCGAATCGAAGTTGAACCAGTGAAATGTTGTTCGTTTCGATCTATGCTGCCTACTGCTATTATTTTAAAGCTTACTAAACGAATTACAGTACTTTATTATAGTGATCTATGCTCTGATTCCAGAGAGGACAATCCAAAACTAAAACTGACTGTAAATCCAGAAACCAAAATCTAACCCAAATTCCTAAGCCCAAACGTGTTGATGCCAGTACATGTACAATTATAGATGGTATGCTTGTCACGAATTTTTGTTTACATTCATACTTGACATGGTCTGCCACAATGCTTACTTTCGGCCTTGAGAGGTAAAATGCAAAATTTAATACATTCACTACACTAAGAGGGTGATGCTCGAAGTGATTAAAAGCTTTCCAAGTAATACATTGCCCATCACTAGGGCCTGATGAGGCTAGACCAACTGCAAATAGAGGAACGTCTTTATGCCTTCCTTTGGAAACTATAACCGTTTTATTGAGTCTTTTTTGCCTATGGAATGGTGTTTACAAAAAAATAAAATGGAAAAAACTTTAATCTGAAATGTTGCTCATCAGTAGCTCATATTGTCCTTAGATAACGCTAAAAGAGTTCCACTGAAAACGAAGATATCTTTCTCGAGATAATGAATTTATAAGCAATAGTCATATGTCACAATGAGCTCAGAAAGCTCTAGTTTTTTTAAAGTCATTGTCGTGAGAAGGAAAATCTTTGTTTCCAGTAAAAATTTTTTCGCGCTCTCTAAGGGCAATATGAGCTACTCATGAGCAACATTTCCGATTAAAGTTTTTCCATTTAATTTTTTTGTAAACACCATTCTATCGGCAAAAAAGACTCAGTAAAATGGTCATAGTTCCCAAATGAAAGCATATGGACGCTCATCAATTTGCAGCTGTTCTAGGCTCACCAGATCCTATTGATGGGCAAAGTATTACGTGGAAAGCTTTTAATCGCTTGGAGTATCACCTTCGGTAGATGCATTTTACAGTTCAGTGATCGTTACCATTTGCTGAACAACTTTCAGTTAGTTAAAGCTATCAAGCTTGAAATTTTGCCATTGGAAAGAGCGAAGTTTGAACCGTTTATATGTGCAGCGGTCATAGGTACGAAGAAGTTTTCTACGACTGTTTTTATACCAATATTTTTTTCACTGTCTATTTTAATAAATTTTTGTGATAATCTAAGCTCAAATAACGCCATATGTTAGTTCCAATTGTCCTGCTTACGTGGCAAGATCGTCTCATATTAAAATGGTCCTGTTGATAAAAGAGATCGAGAAGATAATACAGAAATGTAAAGGTTTTACCATCTCTGTAGAAAACTTCAGGCTACAGTTTGATGTAACTTGAGGTTAGGTAGCCATGATAATTCATGAGAATCGAAAAAGAAAATATTATTATAAAAACAGTCCTGAAAATGTCTCTAAACATACTAATTGTTAAACGAATAGACTCCACAGAGCTCACCCTTTCCAATGGCAAAAATTTCGAGCTCGATAATGTTAATCGATCATAAGTTAATTGAAAAAAATGGCCACGTCCACTAAAATCTGAAATCGGCATCCGTATACAGACTTTTGAACCGTTACAGAATCAATGTTGGGCTGATTCTGCAGCAATCTCTGTTGCTCACATCACATATATAATATAAAATATCTTTCTGTGTCTTCGTGACCGTGTTCATCTCACATACGTATATATGTTACCTGTGTGATTCAGATTTACGCATGCTGTTTTCTTTCAGTTATTGACACTTCAGTAGCTCTCACTGAAATGTTCGTCGCCAAGTAAACAATTGTCAAGTTGAGAGAGAAACACGGAATGAGAATGCGAGAATGTGAAAAAAATATTATGGTGTTGATTGTTATAAAACACAATACTTATGAGAGAATCACCCGCGGTGTTACAGTTCGTTATTATTCATTCACATCTCGTTTGATAGAGTATATTGAATTAGAAAGAAGCTTCAAAGAGTTTCTGCATATGGTTCCTCCATCAAAGTTATGGCCGTTTTTCTATTTACTCCTTATATCATATATGAGAGGACCTCTTTTAAAAGAGGGCCTGCGAGAAGACCACTCTACTCTCCAAAGAAGTCGCCAGAGGAAAAAATTTTTTTTTCGATTTTATTTTCTCAAATGATAGGTCTAGGCAATCTATAGTTAAATTCAAAATATTAGGTCATTTGGTTTTATCTATGAAGAATGCGAGGCAAAACAATTGTAAAGCGGTCAATTTTAACCCTAAAAATCCGCGAAAAATGGGTGTGCTCAGTATTTTGATATTTTCTTATGAACGGTTTGACCGTTTGAGATCGGCCACATCTCATTAGATAGTGAATAGTATAGGCTACAAATTTATTCTATTTCGATGGTTCATATCTGGCATAAAAAAAAACCCTATAGATCAAAAACCTTCAAAATTCCAAGAAATTCTACACTCTGAGATAGCAGTATTTTGGGCTTTTCTTGAGTGATGCAAGCGGTCCCAAACTTCTTTTTTTACCAGACATAGATCTTGTCATGAAACATCTTTTGACATTAAATTGTCAAGACAAAAAAACTCGGGGCCAAATTAGCATGGACCACACTGTGCTCAACCCTCCTAAGTCACCATTGATTCTATCCCACAAAGTTATACAATTTTTACAGAAATCACAAAAATAGACTTCAGATTCGTGTTCAGCTTGAAAAACTGACTTAGATAGGATAATTTAAATTGATTCCTTACTTGTACCAAGCGTGTTCAAGATCATGGACCCACCTCATAGATATATGATAGATATATGTCACGGTGTTTTGATAATAATTCACCAATATTAATAGCTATCGAGTTCGGGTTTTTACCATTCACTGGCCCTTTTCGAAAGCTACAAAACTGTATATTTTCCAAACTCAAAAATCACTGATCACTTGTGACATGCCGAGCCACATTGGTCTTGGAGCACGAATTTATGCATTTTTGCCCTCTGTTTAGCCCGTTTTCTGTTGCAAAACAACACATTGAATCAAAACCAGTGTCATATTCGGAATCAGCGTTAAAAACTGAGTCGATTCATGTATGTTTTAACTATTTTTGAGAAACTTTATTTTCTATGAAAAAATGGCCCTATACTCCCCTTAGGCTTCAGGAAAAAATGATTTCTCTCAAAATGGTGTTTTTGTCGTTTAGAATTTTGCCATTTTAGTTTTTTTGGAATTAGATATGCTCAGCTATTTCATTCCACACGATAAATGGCATTTTTGAGAAAAATCATTTTTTCATGGACCCTGAGGGCGAGTGCAGGATTATTTTTTCATAGAAAAAGTTTTTTTCTCAGAAAGACTTCAAACATGCATGGATCGACTCAGTTTTTAACGCCGATTCCGAATATGACACTGGTTTTGATTCAATGTGTTGTTTTACAACAGAAAACGGGCTAAACAGAGGGCAAAAATGCATAAATTCGTGCTCCAAGACCAATGTGACTCGGCATGTCACAAGTGATCAGTGATTTTTAAG